CTGGGAATATGATTTACATCGTGGGAAAAATGGAGCTTCAACCTTAATTAACTTCTCTAATTTTATGTATTATAATGGCAAATGACATGTGAAAGAGAAATTTTTTTTAGAAAAAGAAATTAAACTTCATTTAAAACGCATTAGGTTCACATGATAGTGGAAAGTGCAGGTGAAAAACTTTTGTAGCTAAATTTTTATTTATTTTACAAGAACTAGACGTTTGAAAGAAGCAAAGACTGTCAAAATATATATTACATATGGAAATAATATCATCCATTTAGTTTAAAGTAGCTGAACTTCTTAGCAGCAAAATAAGCACCCCCTCCCGGATTCATAAATTATAACTTTGAAAACTCAGACTTTTCAAAAAGTGGTATAATACAGTAAAGATACAGCTGTTAAAACTTCTTAATCTCTAATTCAACTAAGGCTCAAATCTGGTGCCTGTAGATTGGTCACAAATCTTTACTACTTGATATACTCCAAGGGCATTCTAATTCTTAAACTCTCCCTATTCTAGGATGTTGTTATACTTTTCCATCTATTGCTGGGTTAGAATGCGTTCTAAATCTTTTACTACGCTGTTAAGCTGAGCTGCAGTGTTTCTTCTTTAGTCTGGGCTCTCAGTAAAGTTTCCTTTTGATCAGTAGTGGAAACTGGAGGATCATGATTTGCTGTACAAGTCACCAAAAATGATACCTGGCGCATTTAAAATTACTGTTATTGTCACCTGGGGAACACATAGTAATTAAGCAGCATCGCTACGGAATAGAAAACAGAGACATTTCGCTACCAGCAGCAGAGCGGCAAAGTCGTTGAACACTGGTAGTTCCGTCTGGGGTTTGAATCCCGGAGAACGGATTGGCTGCATGGACCTTTTCTTGGCTTTCCTCGTGCGTACCCGTTTTCCTAGTTTTTCCGGTGTCTTATAAGTATACGAGCCGGTTTTCCCTAGAAATTCCTCCACGAAGGCATCCATTTCCTTAGGCAGATAGTTCTCGTATGCTTTGAAGCAATTAAGTAAGCCAAACCAAACCTACAACTGACTGAACATACTTTTGCTTAAAACAGATACTACTGGTCATGAAAATTTGCAACATCAAAATATATACAATATAACACATTTAAGTTTGCTTTAGACATTCCTTGTTATACAAAAATAAAAGCATTAACATTTCAGGGATACCGAACAAACAACATATGCTACGAAGCAGTACAGAATGTGGCCACTATAAGCTAAAGTAACCGCCCGCTCCGGTGAAGCAAAGAAGCGAAGAGATTTAAGATTGCATTTTGGGATATTTTAGTCTAGGGTAGGGTTTTTTTTTTAACTTTTTGGTGTGGAGACCTAAATATATACCTAATATTTACTAAAATTTTTGGGACTCCATACGCATTGCATAAATCGGACGCACGCGTGAGTGAAAGTGTCAGTTTCTTCGCTTGTACTATAATATACTATTGCAGTTTTAGGTCACTAACTTTAATTTCTAAAATAAAACCAACGTTTCTGTTATAAAAAAATGCGTCGAAACGTTTTCGTTTTTTCTTTATCTGTATTGTCTTATCTTTATCTATTTTCAGATACATTATTTAAAAATAACGGCAATGTAAAAATAATGGTAATTGTAAAATGATTATAATAAGTTAAACAAGTATCAAAATTGATAAAATTTTTGGCGACCCTCCTGCAGGTCCCGCGACTCCTATGGGGGTAGCGACCCACACACAGTTTAAGAAACTCTAGTCTAGGTAACTGCAGTTTATTCTTTTAATTTATTGTAATCGCTGATGATCTTTAAAGTGTGTGGCACCACAGACCAAACATGTTGAATCAGTGAAAAATACGATGAAAGCACCAGCTGAAGCGAAAATATACTGGGTTAAAATGGTGGGCATTAAATGAGAAGTATGATCCGACACCTCCTAATACAACAAAGCATTGTCACTGAAACGAGAGGAAGCTGTGACGTCACAGGTAGTCGTCTCACGAACCTCGCTAGACGATTGTGCATACTGAAAATTCCTCTATATTAATCTCAATTTATCTTAATTTATCCTTCTGAGCCAATAAAACTGATATCGGGATATATTTTTCTGGCCTATATCTTCAGTCATTTTTCATGCAACAAACTTATTTTAGAGTAATTACTATTCAAGAAGTTAATAAATAAATAAATAAAAATAAAAATAGTACGATTATGTAAAATCTACTTATTTTCTATTGAAAATACAGCGGAGCACCGTATACACGTTTCTCGTTTATACCTCTTTTACATTTATACGTCGTTTCATCTTAATCCCGATTCGGTTGCATTTATCTTAGTCGTAAAATATTTCTTTTATACTTCACGTAACTTCGATTATACAAAGCTTATGCTTGACATACTGCATTGGTTCTACATTTCGCTACTCCATCGGTCAAGTATTTTCCCCAGGAAGGTGGACAGGAGAAAGAAAGGCGTAAGACATCCTAGTCTGGTACAGAAGTTGAATGCTAGTTCATGAATAGAAACGATACTTGGAAAGAGAAAATACATATACGATATTTTCTTTTGAATAGGATGCTGTGTTACGTAAACTAGATGACTAAAATTAACTAATACTAAATGTTATGAAAGCGAAAGGCACTCTCGTTAAAAGATAAAATTAAAAATCTTAAAAGGATTTGATGAGAATATTGGTTTAACGAAAGTTGAGTTAGCAAAGAAACTAGATGTTCCTGTGACAGTACTAAAAACGGTTGTTTAATGATAGAACAAAAGTTGAACAGAAATCTGTGGACAGTTCGCTTTTTCAAAAAATTACCGTATTTTACTACTCACGTAACAGTCGCACTTTTTTTTTGCCGATTTTTCTGCGAAAGGTTCTAGGTGCGACTATTTTGCGGGGAAATCTACTACACAATGTCGTACACTTTTGTCGATTTTTTCCGCTTCAAAACGGGGGTGCGACTATTACGCGGGTAAATACGGTATGTATTCAAGATTGAGTTTCTTGAGGTCGAAGCTATTTTTCTAAAATTTTTCTTTGCGTCGTGCATCCTGTATTCCAAAGAATGGTCCAATGTTAATCGAGAATTCAAAACAAATAGTACTTCGATTGAATGTGAAGGAAAAACTTGTTTTTCAACTGGATGGTAGCATAAATTTAAACTTCGGCATGGAATCTTATGTCATATAATAAATAGAGAATCAGTAAGCGTTCCTGCTGAGTCAGCTGAAGAGTGGTTCTGGAATTTATTCATCAAAATAGACGGATATGAATTAAAAGACATATTTAATGTTGACGAAACTGCTTTTTTATTTAAGCTTTTGCCTGCAAGAATTCTAGCTTTCAAAGATCAGCAATGTCATGGAGCTAAGCACAGGAAAGAGCATCTCATTGTTTTACTTGTAAAAATGCTGATAGTATGGAAAAAAATGACTTCTTCGATTATAGGAAAGTGACGAAAACCAAGGTGCTTCATTAAAAGGGAATTGTTGGACTTGGACCCAGAGTCAAGTGAAAGTGTTGAAAATAAAAATGATGATGAAATTCTAATTATGCATGAAGAAGACTACTGGGATTAGGGCATTACAATCGAAAGCGGGGATGCTAGTGTAATGATGTCAGACTTATGTACAGTTGAAGAACTTATAACCAGTTAAGTTACTTTCCTATCAAACTTCGTTTCATTTCCCTGCCAGAATGTAAATTTCCAGACTTGATCTGAATCGGAATATTCAGATTAAGTCTAATGAAGGAAGTAGTTAAAGGAAGGCAGATCAGAACGTGTTCTGCCTGCTTGGAGACCACGTTACTAACCTTGATTCTTCCGATTAGAATTCTGCGGCGTTGACTTATTCTTGCCACTAAGCTTGCTTACGCCGACTTCGATCAAAGCCAGCTTGCTCGCTATACTGTAAAGCCATTAGCTGTATTAAACTTAATTAATTTTAGTTTCTCCATTATCTTTAATTTAAGCAAAAATGTTGGCTTCTGTAAGCACAAGTTTGTGCCGTCTGCTAAACGTTATTTGGATTAATAGAAGGGTCCTTTGCACTCTTTCCCTGTCTCTGTGGTATTTACAAGACACAGTGAAAAGTCACTAACTGTCTTTTTAGAGCTCTGGTCTAGTTGTATGCTTCTTAAGAAGACCAGATCTTATAAACTGATTGAAACATTTTACCGGATGAACAATTTAAATAGCGGGAATGAAGAAGCAACTGAAGAAATAATCCCACTTTCTTTTCAAAATGCTATCTACTGCATTGACACTTTCAGAAATTTCTTTGTGTGTACAATAATACAAGCGAGAAAACATTTTAAGAACCGAAGTCGAATCATAGCGAGAAAGTAATCTGGCTTAATACTCTGAGTCAAAAGACGCATCAGACAACCATTAAAGACTTTCTCTTTATAAAAGTTTAATTTTGCTTCATATTGCTCTTGGGGGAGATGTTACTTATCCAAGATGGTAATTCAAATAAAGGCATGACTTTTTTTTTTTTTTTTTAATTTATTTACGTAACTACGTACAGAAATTTGCATTCTTATAATTTAAAAAATATTAAATTTGTTTTAATACAATTTTAAAATATTCATTATAAAATTGTTTGCATTTTTTTATTGTATAAGATATCAATATTAATTAAATACTTAAGTAAAATAGTTATTTTAAATTTGTTTGAGCATAGTTAATATTTCAAACAATTTGAAAGTGCGATGATAAAAATGTGCAATATCAGTTTTAGGTTAGTACTACCAAAACTGAACAGCTAATATATATAGGTTTGATATCGTAAATTAAAATTTCGTTTATAAGTCTTTCTCATTTATATGTTGTTTGTGAACGGTCCCTTAAAAAAAGTATAAACAGTGCTCCACACTGTAGTGTCTTTAGGAAGTTCGGAGGAATTTCTTTTGCATTCGAAAGGCGGGTGATTATCTTCATTTGAAAAAAGTTCTGCAGAATGTCCAATATAACAGAGTTTAAAAATGTTACCTTTCTTTTTCAGGATTACCGTTGCAATTTCCGAGTGCGTTCACAACTGTCCATGCCCCCATACCAGTGGACGAGCGAACACACGAAGGGCGATATGTATGGGAACCAAGAATTCACTCGGCTCTGGCCCACGCTTCCAATAGGTATGCATTTTATTTTCATCTTGCTAATAAAAATTAGTATTGTGGTTGTAAAATTGCTGAAAAAAATTATGCATGTCATATCTCTGCGTAAATGGCATCATTCATGGATGGTCAAGAGCTGAATTCCTTATACATAGCACAATACGGTCAATAGATTCTGTATGGAGTCCTTATAATGCAGCCAGGTATTATAGCTTCTACTTTGTGCATTAATCTGGCTTCAAAATATTATTTTGATTTCTGATAATAAGTAAATGAATAATTCTAAATTTTTAAATATATTTATTTTTCTATTAGTTATCGACGAAAACTGAAGAATGATACAAATTTTTGGTCTTGAGTTATGCCCATTGAGAACTTTTTCTTTGAATTTTTAAGGAATACTCAAAAGCACTTCGAGTATATTGATTTGAAAATCAGACTGTCTGATAAAATTAACATAAAATTGTTGCCATTCAGTTCTTTTGAGCAGAAGCCGATTTTTCATTCCTTTTTTATGTTTTACTAGTATGGTTTTCAAAACAGATTTTCGCAAGCTATGTGGCGGAAATAATAAGATCAAGTTTAATGAGAGCAAATGCAAATTAAAGGCAGCCTATGTCAACTTAAATAACTTATTCGTGTTGTACTGACAATAACTTCATTTAAATTTTATCAAACTGAGTATGATGTTTTAATTTTTTTAGAAACGATAAAATAAATAAGTTTCATATATTCAAGTAAAACTTTCATAATATAAAAAATAGATATTAATAAAAGCTGTCTTTTTATCCATGCACTTTTGAGAAAGCGTCCCGCCATAGCAGGAATGTCGCGGAATAACAATTTAATAGTTTTCAACATAAAATGCTGATGCCTTAACCCTTTTACGCGCACGATATTATTTTTATAATTTTTTTAACTAAAAACTCTAGAAATTGGATATTATGATTCCTAGAGACAAATAATATATAAATTTAAGAAAATCTACTCTTTCCCATTGTTCTGTGGGTGGTGGTCGCATTGTGAAACCACCGCGCGTCTAGGACTTTGAAACTTACCGAGGTAAGTAGGAAAAAAAAACTTACATTTTCCGTGCGCCGTTTCCAATAAATGACGAAAATTTACGAATTAAAACAAAAGTGCATGTAGGAATTGCATAATATAAATATATATATATATATATTTAAATAATATTACATTATTTTACAAAGTAAATCGTCGGAAAAAGTTAAAAAATAAACATTTATGTAATTTTTTCTATAGCAGTGAAAACATGAGAACCTACATAATAAGGACGTTTGGCTACAATGTATTAAAAAAAACTCAGTAAAATAAGGATAAAAAAAAGACTCAGTGTTTTGTTTTTTTAAATTTCAAAGAACAAATATTTTTTGTGACACCGTTCAAAGCATGTTTTGTCTTTTTGGTACATGCATGCCCACATTGCATGTTTCGCACATGTATCTTCTTCTATGAGGTTTCTTCCTTGTGCTACAAAATGTACACTGATTGGATCTAAACTTCACTGGTATATGTCCAGCGTTATTTATTTTCTTTTCATCTGGCACATGCAATTTGTAGTTTTTTATGTTAATGAGGAGGGGCTTGGTTTTTTGGCTTTGATACGGATCATTCGTTTCCCATTCATGCTTATTTTATTCGTATTTCGTCCCCAAATATTCAGAAATATTTTAAATTTAAATAAAACTTTACGCGATTTCTATTTTTAATTACAGCAAAGTATATTTACATTAAATTTAAACCACAGGAAATAATTTATAAAATCACAATACTAGCTTGGGGAGCAAGTGTGTTGAGGTCAGAGAAAAGTCTCTGGAAAAGAAAGACCTTTTTACTGGGCAGGTGCATGTATTGTATAGTAATAAAATAACTCTGTGATTTCAAAACTCCTTATCTATATCAGGTAAAAATAAACATTCCTATCTGAGAAGCAAGCAAACGCCATTGTGAATAGCAGTGGTTTCAAGGCGCGACCACCGAGCCTCTAGAGCATTGTGACACAATGCTCTAGTGGTGCAGTGGTCGCGCTCTGAAACCGCAAAGCAAATGCCATACATATAGAGGTTTCTTTTTTATATATGCAGTTTAATTATTGCTATTTTTTTATTGTTTATGATAGAAATCATGATGTGCGATGAATAACTTTTGAAATTAGTTTGAAAAAAAGTTGTTTATATTAATAAAAGGAAGTTATTTTGTCTCATTGAATTTTAAAAGGCATCCGATTTGAAGTACTAAGACCTAAAACATGTATGATTCTGCAGTCATTTTGTGTTATTTAGAGGTAAAAGATCAGTAATCAATTGATTTTCACTCAAAAATTTCGGAAGGAAGAGGAGAAAAAAATTCGAAAATTGGTGGTTTCAGGGCGCGACCACCGCGCGTCAAAGGGTTAACAAAGTTCGTGAAGTGACGGCTGATTTTAAATAAGTGCTAGACTATATTAAATTAATCGAAGCTGAAAACGGGCTGATTACTCTTCTCCAGAGCGCAGGCGAGAATCTAAAGCATGGCAACATCTACTTTCTACCACTAAATTCAAAAAAGTCAAATTGACCTTCTCCTGCCGGAAGACAATGACCACTATGCTCTCGAATAGGCATGGCTCATTTATAATCGGGTTTATTCACAAATGATTAAACCATAGAATGTGAAAGCATTTTGTGAAACATTGAAGAAATCGAAAAATTCATTAAAAATTCCCGAAACCTCTTGTCTTATCTTTCGTGTGATTATCCCGCACGACAGCTCCCAATCGTACGTTTTGCGTCTGCAATGTTTATTCAGAACTTTCGGTGGGAGATTTGGGAGGAAATAGCCTACTCCCTCAAGCTATTACCATTTTCCCATAAAAGGAATTTCGGGATGAAACGTATTTTTCTGATTATGAATAGCTTCAAAAAATGGTAACTGCATTTCTCAACAAATTGTCGTAGAAATAAATGCATTGTCCTTGTATACCCTTGTCGGTAAACTTTGTCGGTAGAAGCAAATATATAACAAGGATATATAGTAAAAGTCATTGAGGCTGTTTAGTGCAAAAACTCGTCTTCTGGCACTAAAGAGCCTCAAGGCTTGAGTGCCTGATGCGTAAAGTAATAGGCTGAGGCAAATACTTTCAAAACAGAAAGATTTTTTGTGCAATTACTTTCTTTCATTCATATATTTATTTATTTATATTTACCAGTCGTTACTAATACATATTGTTTTGAAGTGATAGAAGCTCTGTAAACAGCAAATAAAGGACACATTTTCACTACCTACCAAAGACTTAAAGTTATGTAACATTTCACTGTACTCTGTCATTTTAGAATTTGCACAGATGGAAGCGGAAGCAATCTTCCGGATTTCTCCCATTTTGCTCCGAGACGGGATATTCCGAACGGTCATGTTAATTTTCCACCTCATTACAGAATCAGTCCTTATATGGAACAAGTTATATCATCGTTGCATGGAAATTCAGCAATGGGATCACCATTGGTCTCGGATGCCAGAGGTAAAATTCCTTTTCGTTTTTTTTAATTTTTTTTTATATCTATCTTCATAAACACTGCATTAATTAAAGATACTGATAATTTTTCTCAATTCAGATAGTGTTTAATTAATAATTCTTATTGACTTATATTTCAATTCAGGCACCGCAGGAGATATACAAGAATATGCTATCTTTAATCCAAAAATATGCTATCGTTATTCGAATGCAAAATCTGCCTTTTATATCATACCATGATGCCAGATAACTCGTCCCTGCTGAGTGCATAAGATCCTTGAACTTTTGTAGTTCGTCCTAGGTTCGATTCTACTCTGAGGATTGGTTGCACGGAGTTTTTATGGTCATTTTCATGTACAGCAAATGTACGAGTCACATTCTATGAAAAGGTTTTAACGAAGGCACCTACCGCAAAAAGTATAGCTTTAAGTGAATTACACCAATAACAGACTAACCAAACCATAACATAAAATCCGAAGTATTTTGATATACGTATTATTTTCATAGCATTATTTAACGCAAATTTTTTTTTACGTGTACAAGTATAATTTTACAGTTTATGTTTATTTCGAAGCTAAGATTGCATGTACATTTGAAAGTAACCCATTCTGCTTCATAAGTTTTATTATCCTACTTTGTTTTAAAAAAATAATTTTTTTTATTTATTTATTTATTATTTTTTTATTTATTTTTATTATTATTATTATTTTTATTTAAATCAAAACTGAACTAAATAAAACTCTACTGATAAAAGATTTCAGAAGCATTTTATCCAAATTCGCTGAAACGTGGCAACACCTTCTTAAACACAAGACTCCCTACTGAAGGCTCGTAGTTTAGTGACGTCACAAACTGTTGATCTTCTCCGTGGGGTGCAAAAAATCGCCCCTAAACCAAGGCCATCTAGATGGCATTAGAAAGTAAGGGGAAATTTGTCCTTGGTCGTGAGAAGGCGCGTGAACCATGTCGCCTTAATTTGATGCTGATATTTTTTTTTCGATTTCAATCATGCCTTTAAAGTGCTGTGTGCCGTTATGCCGAGAAAATTACTGTGACGGTTGAAAGTATCAGTATACAGATTTCCTAAGCAACAAGATGTATTGTATTCTCGGGTAAGTTAAGCCTAACTTGAAATTTAAATTTATTAAAGTATTTGCTTCTACATTTAAAAGAATGGATATGTTAATATTAAGGAATTTTATTTTTATAGAATACATTGTGTATAATATTGTGTAATTACGTATCGATTTGTATAATTATGTATTGAACTCGTTAATAATTATGTATCAAATTGCATGCTAAATATTCACTTACTTTTTATAATGTTCAATCTTTTACTTTTTGATTAATTTTATACCTTGGAACTTTTAACTTCATACGTATATGGCAGCAAATGAAATTATTTAGCTTAATATTTAATATATTTTGGTTTTAAAAGTTTTTCTAAAGAAACTGTGAAGGCAATAAATATGCTTATGGTTTTTTAAATTGTAATATAAAGTGCACAGTTTTGCGTAAAACAAGAAATAATTTAAATTCTTTTCTTCCCCCCCCTTCCCGAGTGGGAGACAAACACACATATGCTTGCTATCACCTGTTTTGTTAAAATATAAATTGCATTACTAGAAATCCTACTTTTATTTCTTTAAAATTAGTAATTAGGTAATTATAGTAATCTGAGTGAGCTTTCATCATGTCTAAAAAATGTTAAGATATCTGATGATTTAACAGTTGTGATTAAAGAAAATAGTATATTTTTTCTCAAGATAGGCACAGAATTTGCTCTTTTTATATCTGCATCAGTCGTTATCCATGATGATCTGCAAGTGGAAGCATATTTTAGCATATTTGATATTCCATTAACAAAAATTAGTAACCATGAATTCCCTTTAAAAATTAATGATGTGCATAATCTCTGTTCATTGTTTAAAGAAGTTGCAAAAATGAAAGGTGATCATAATGAAAAACAGCTTTAAAAATTTATTATTTCGTAACTCAAGGCCTTCTCCGGAAATTAGAAAAAATATGACCCTTGAACATAAAAAAAGAGAGTACTTCAGTTTATATTTGAGCAGCTGACATTACTCGTTTTGCATAATAATAATAATAGGTATAGTTCTGATCTGTTAATATTATCAAGTTTGATGTTTTCAATTTCTCCACATTTCTATAAATTTTTAAGAAATAGTGCATATGTTACTTTGCCACATCCTTCTACATTGAAAAGATTGTATTCTGAATATAATTTTCATCCTAAAGTGGAGCAAACTCCTAAAAATTTCCTGAATTATGCTAAGGAAAAAATCGGCTTTTTAGACGAAAACGATAATATGTCACTTTAATGGTTGACGAAATTCACATTAAGCCATTCTTAGATTTCAAAGGTGAAAATATAATAGGAATGTAACAAAATATAAATGTGAAAACGCTGCTAATTCTGCTTGTGATCTAATACTCTGCAGCCTAAGCTGCAGAGTATTAGATCTTCATATAAGGATGTTATAAGTATTGTCCCAGTAAAATCATTATCAGCGCAATTTTTGCATGGATATATTGTGAAAAAAAAAATTTAGAAAATTTAGGTTTTTCGTGTAATATGTGTGCTTATAAATCTACCTTGCTAAAATTTAAAAACTTCTAATATCCTTAAAAATACTTCCACACATCCTTCTTATATATTTTTTATGCAGTTAAGTGACCTTGAATATTATTAGTATGGAGGGAGATTCCAACATTACCTTAAAGTTACTTATCAAAAGTCAACCAGTACTTTAAAACATTATTTTAACTGTAAACATACAATATAAGAGCATAGAAAAATTAATAATATATAATATATTTTGTGCAAAGGAAGATGTTTCCAATATTATATCCGCTAATGAATTGAAAATATATATTTTCAATATATATAAAGAAAAAACGAAAAATAATATGTATCTACATCATTAGAAAATACCCTCCTGTTAGTAAAGCTTTAAAAACATATATACTTTAAAGGCAGATAGTAGGTAGCGATTGTCAGCCGCTAGTTTGTGACGTCACGATCTCGTAGTTGGGCTTCTGTTTAAGAAGGTGTTGAACGTGGGCTTTCGGAAGCATAATGCTTCCTTTCTACTTGTTACGATTTCGCTGCCGTATTTTTAACAAATGTAAAATGTTCTAAGAATTTTTATAAATATATATATATACGACATAAAATACGATATAAAACTGCCAAGAAAGATTTCACGATCTCGTAGTTGGGCTTCTGTTTAAGAAGGTGTTGAACGTGGGCTTTTGGAAGCATAGTGCTTCCTTTCTACTTGTTACGATTTCGCTGCCGTATTTTTAACAAATGTAAAATGTTCTAAGAATTTTTATAAATATATATATACGACATAAAATACGATATAAAACTGTCAAGAAAATTACCATCCACTTTATTAAAAATCAAAATTTTTCTAAAATTCTCTCTAGCTGAACTTTGGTCAGTCAAGTTTCTCTTCTTTTCAGAGCACCATTTCTGCATCTACGCCCTTTTACGATCAGCCTTAGTTTTAAAATGACCGCTGAAACAGTTTGACATCTACAAAGCTGTTATGTCATGTTGATAATTATTTCTACGATACGAACAGCAGCATGAAAGATGAAAATAATTATTAAATAATTTCTTTATTTTGACATAAAGTCCGTTAAAAGTCTTCTAGACAAAAGTAAAAATTTTAGTTTTTCAACTTAAGAGTTAAGTTTCCAAGAAGTAAGCAGTTTGAGCTCTTTCATCCATTTCCATTTCCCAGGTGCTTCAATGATGCATTGTGGAAAAGCACGCAACTGAAACGCCTTTAACACCAAATTGAAGAGGGAAAAAAATATACTTGTCACACCTGAGAAGACTTTTCTTTTCTAAGGTCTTGCATTATCCTCAGCTTGTTTTCTTTTTCGCTTGACCGAAAATCAGTTTTTTTTAATTCGGTTGCTCTTACTTGTTGACTTAATCTGAGATAAGATCTTTCTTGAGCACGTTTCACTTTTACTCGGCTATGTGTCTTGTCATTTGTTTCCTCACAACTCTCTAAATCACTCTACTTGCACGAATGTTAAAAAGATTCACATGGAGTATATATATTCTGTGGCATCAATAAAAGTAACGGCGATTTGTGAAAGCGATGATATGAGAGGTTACGGAAGTTAGTCATCCTTTGTAGCAGGATTTGCTGACTAGTGAAGTTGTGCAAATGAGTGTCTGTGAAGTAGCCCTGTCTATTATATGCCAAATTAGTATTTCTACCACTCTTGGTGACTTAGAGGTGTACCGACCGTGGGCCTCGTGGTTCGCAATAATGATTCTGGAAATGATCTTATTATTCAGTTATTAGCTTTTACTTATTTTACAACTCTGAAAGAAGGACTGCGTACTTGGAAGAAAATATAGCATGTTACGGATTGTAACTACTGCTATGTTAAAAAGAATTGGAGTTTAACTTAGATAAGACTTGTTACATGTCAAAATTCCTTTTCAGATAGACTTATGCGACGAACTAGAGCTCTGAAAAAGAATATGGGAGTAAATAGAGGTAAAATGGTATTTATCTGGAAGAAATTTTAAAAATTTTCTTCGGAGGGTTCCCACGAAAAAGAGACATGTTAGTCTACCCAAAGATTTACGATGTGGACAAATTCGCTAAGCCGAGGAATACTGTAAGCCAAGTGTCCCCAAACTTTTTGTCCCTAAGAGCACATTCTAGAATGTCTATTGGACGGCGGGCACCATTTACTTTTTCAATGTGAATTTCTAGTTGGATAGAGTTAATAACACATGCACATAGAAAAAGAAATCGGTCGCATTTCGCGTTGGGCTGGTATCTGTGTTGAACGCAATTTCTATTTCATTAAAAATGAGAAAACTTTCACATAGAATTTTATTGAAAACTAAAACATTTTTATTATGGTCGCCCAGCAGCGGGCACTTGTTAAACGATCAGCGGGCTCTATGGTACTGGCGGGCATAGAGTTGGGAACCCCTGTAC